TCGAGCTTTTACGAGCGATCCGTGATCGGAAAGGAGAGGCAATCGCCTCGTTCCTTCAAAGAGGAATCGCTACGGAGGCTGTGGCGTCGTTAAGTTGACGCTCAACGAGAGTACGAGATGGTGGGAACAAAACTTGATGTTCTACCCTCTATTCCGCCAGTCTCTTCTCCACGCGTTCCCTCATTTTCTTTTGTTGCGTCACTGCCTCCCGGTCCTTTCAATCTATGGCAATTACGGTGACAACGTCGCGCTTCATACGGCAGAACTGTTAGGCCCACCGGCAAGTTCTGTCCGATAATGTCATTGCAAATTTCGATAGGTGTGCACGTGTTCATTTGAGACGTATATTTTTGAAAAATGTTACTCACACATTGCCGTCACGCTGGCAAGAGGTCGTAAGTAACGGCGGAAATTATATTGTACGATAAATATTACTAAATTTATGNTACTAACTTTATCGTTTCTTTCACTTGTCGATGTAATATTTTGGCGTGTGCAGATTACATTTTAAGACATAAGTCAAGGTTTTCGAAAATGTCGCTTCAGCCACCATGATTCTAACCGAACTCAATCGTGTTCACTTGAGATGCAATCACTATTTGTGGTAATTAGCGTACCAGCGATTAATATTTTTAAAAACTTCATCGAAAATGTTGGTTACACGACCAATGTGTCTATTTTGGACTTATAAAATAGACGGTATCAATCTCTAATAGCTGTTAGAATTTTTAATAAAAAGTTTCACAAATGTTTGTACTGTCACTTCAAACACGCGTCATTATACACACAAAGTTTCAGTCGATCAGATTCAGTCGTTATCCTGAAATCAATACCCAGACATTGTCCTGAAAATCGCATCATCGAAAGCTGCTTTCCCGTCGTAACGAACTCAAGGAAGTCTATAAGCTCCGAAGCAGTTCTCGATCGGTCTAGCATAACCGTGTCTCACATGGGCATGAACGTGCAAGGGTTGATGTCGATATAAAAATTCAGAGAGCTCGCGAAGCCTCGACTATTATTGTATAATCGTGGCTAGAGTGTGTCTCGCTAGGCGAGCCCGTGGCGAGATGCTCCGTATACATAACACGTGATGTACATATATCGCGAGCGATCATTATACCGTCCGCAGAAGGCAGTCAATTTCCCTTTAGCGGCAGAGGGGACTGTCAAAGAATTGTCTGGCTTCACCTGAATGACTTCCGCCATGCATCCGAGCACAGTTCGTCCCCATCGTCGATGCAGCTTTCAAGGACACGGACTCGTGGTGGCTGAGGATTATCATTTCGTACGTGTCTCTGGTAATATTGTGGATGCGGCCGATCGTCCCGTCTGGTGAGAATGGAGAAAACGAGGGGGAGAGAGAGCAAGAGAAACCGGGAGAAAGGGAGGGAGATAGGGGGATCCGAGGTGTACAAGGTAGGATTCGAAGGCTCGATTCACTATCGAGCTTTTACGAGCGATCCGTGATCGGAAAGGAGAGGCAATCGCCTCGTTCCTTCAAAGAGGAATCGCTACGGAGGCTGTGGCGTCGTTAAGTTGACGCTCAACGAGAGTACGAGATGGTGGGAACAAAACTTGATGTTCTACCCTCTATTCCGCCAGTCTCTTCTCCACGCGTTCCCTCATTTTCTTTTGTTGCGTCACTGCCTCCCGGTCCTTTCAATCTATGGCAATTACGGTGACAACGTCGCGCTTCATACGGCAGAACTGTTAGGCCCACCGGCAAGTTCTGTCCGATAATGTCATTGCAAATTTCGATAGGTGTGCACGTGTTCATTTGAGACGTATATTTTTGAAAAATGTTACTCACACATTGCCGTCACGCTGGCAAGAGGTCGTAAGTAACGGCGGAAATTATATTGTACGATAAATATTACTAAATTTATGAGAAATCTATTATTTCCTTTCATTTCTTAAACGGACAGAACTTTACGATTGACCTAATATTAGTCGTAATAACACCGTCCAATTAATTATCAATTATTTCGTAAAAGAATATAATTAAAGAATATAATTAAGTTAATAAAAGAATATAATTAAGAATATAATTAAGTCTATAATTAAGACTAGAGATATTCTCGTAATCGAAAGTTTCGATCACAGAATAAGTGTCTCGCGAGCTGAGGGAAAACGAGAAACGCTTTAGGAAATGTAAATTTCACTCTGACAATCAAACTTTCAGTTATAGACATTTTTCCAATCCTGGTTAGAGAAGCACTGCAAATGTTTCTTACACGGAACAATTCTAAACAGTGTCCTAAACTTAATGGTATATTGTATGGTTGATTATTGTCGATTGTTGAGGAACAGATGTTTAATAAAAATGTACTTTGTTGTTAAATAATTTTAATAAATTGAGAGATTTATTGGAGAATGAGTCACGCAGTGCAGACACATCTTTATCATGGGATCTTTCGGCGGATAAAGCAATGTAGCCGATTTCTTCATAAATGAACAACAGATTGCAGCATTTATATTGGCCATTTGATGACCATTGACCATAAGAAAACAAGAATAAAATAAATGAAATAAAATGATCAAATATTAACATTAATTTTGATGTTTGAATGATTAATAATATAATTCTTTATTTAATTACAATAAAATACAATACTTTTCATTATTAGCGGCATTGTTATATTCTAACGGCTAATTTGCAGAATCCCCATTTATCTCAAGTTTAAGGTCAACGATCTTACACTGATTGGCTTCTGAGCCGTCCATGTTCGAAGTGAGCACGAATTCATCTCGGAAAATAATCGGTTCGTGAACGGTGTCTCGCTCGCTTGAAAAATTACTTGAACCTGTTTCAATATCCTTAATTTTATCTCGTTGCATTCAGGCGAGTATGCACTACGGTCAAAGCACAACAAATTGAAAAACTTGAAGAGCCGTCTTTATGAATTTCTTAAGGATTGAGAGCGACAGGGAAGAGCGATGTTCAGCGAGTCGAGATCCACAAGAATGACTTATTGGAACGTAAAATAGGCGTTGGCCTGTGTAATTAGAGGGGCGGGCCTCGCTGAAGGATTGGAATCACGGATCCGCAGAAATATACCGGGTCGAGATGAGGTCCTCGATTCGTCGCGGATATACCGTATGCTTAGTTTCCAACTAATTCGTCGTCTGCATTGAAAACTAACAGTGCGTACTAATGGATCAGCTTGGCGAAAACCGGGCGCGCGCGGCTCTGAAGGGGGCTGGGGCTGTGTTTCACTGAAACGGGGCTGGTAATTATCGGTAAGTCGGTTAAGAGAGTCGCGGAACATGGTCGAGACGAGATGATAAAATGAAAGACGCGAGTTTGGTCGTTTAATGAGACTAAGTGACAAGGTTCTGCTACCGCATTTTGTTTTGTCCGGAGCATCGTTCCCGGTTTCAATGAACCTGCGCCTACATTCAGACGAACAAAAGCGGCGAAAATCTGTCGATGGGATATAGCATCAACAATCGTATGTTTCACGTCTCAGTTGTGAAATGATTTGTGCATGGATGATCACCGATCTGAAAATAGTACTGCGAGGTCCAAACTTTTTTCAACGTTGGAATAATATTTTTGAATTTCTGTAGCTCGCTGTAACTTTGAAGTCGCTAGTGATTGATCAATGGTTTTATTTCAATTCATTTTCAGCCACAATGCGGTGTGTTGTATTACAGTGTCTTTTTCATAATCGAGGATATTATGCATTGAAGTGTTTAAACGTTACTTTATGCATCAGAGTAAATTGGTCATTTTTATAAATTGAACATTCGTTGTTAATTTATATACAACTACATATACCGAGTACAAGTTACAGTGACTCGAATTAATATTTGGATACCTTTTAAATCAGAGTAAGGTTTTGTAACAGTGAACGGAATTACTTGTATTTCTTTTTAGATGTTAGAGAGACTAATTTACTAAGCAATGTTTATAACATTTTTGTTAAAAACTGCGATTGGTTGGAATGAAAGAAGAAATAAGGAACGCGCGTATTTTAACTTTTTTATCTGAGGTTATAACGAAAATTGTAACTTAAATGCATGTTGCAAAATTTCATCGAAATGAGTTGACGTTGTCATGATCTGATAACAATTATAGGTCGCGAAAATCGCAGTTTTGTTACGATCTTCTGCGTTTTCGATCAAAAACTGTACGAAATCTGTAGATTTTTACACCTTTCGATGCCTGTAGCTTGACCGTAGGCCATCCGATTTCGAAATGTGCAGCTTACGTGTAAGTTATCGAGATCTACGAATCGTATTGTTTAAATTTTCGTTTCGAGTTTACATAAAAAAGTAAAAAGACGCGAGTTTTTTATCTTCGTTGTCGTTATACATAATAGCAAAAGTTATTAAAAGATATTCTAGTTATTATACAATAAACTAGTCCCTCTAACATCTTCAAAAAATTCAAGCCATTTCGCTGAATTTGGAAAGAATTATTCTGTTTTAAGAGGTGCTCCAATATAAAAATGCCAGACCGTAGAACGTTTAAGGCAAATTGATCAAATTTCACGCGATAAGAATTATGCGCCGGTTTATAGAATAAAATAAAATGCAGTAAAAGGAGCACTTAATCAACGGAACGTGTTCAATGGCCAAATTATAGACATAAGTGCTGTTAAGTGGATAATTTGCATGTCGAAAGAAACTTGAGTTTGCGAACCGAGGCCTTATCGCATTATCCGAGCTCTCTTTACATTTTGATACACAAATGGCAGCTGATCAGTTTCTTCAGGATCTGCTTGAACGCGGTTTTTGTCTGCGGAACTAGTTGGTAATAGCAATTCTGTTTAACAATGAGGTACGATAATATCGAATATCGTCCGCAAGAAGCGCAAGAGCAAAAACATGTAACCTCGTAAAGGATACGACTAGAGTAATTCGATAGCGTTTCTTTCTACTTGCCTCGCGGGCTAGACAAGTTCTTGTCAGGCTCGTTTAACAGCTTCGATCGGTGTTACATTGTTCAAATATACGTTATTGAGCGGTGCAAAAAGTAGGGTTGCGATACTTACTGACCACGTACATGTAACCAATAACGCTTAGAGTATTAAACGACGGCGAATCACCAGAGACCTCGCAACGGTACTTGCCGGTGTGATTTGGCTGCACGTCCTTTAAAACTACTCGATGGGCGTCACTCTGATTCTTCTGGAATGTGAATAAAATACAGTGTTAACGCTGATTGCGAAAATTAGATTCCTCGACGTCTTGTCCCAAGATCATTAACACTCATTACACCGCGAATAAATTCCAACGATCTACGCGTAAATGTGGCAATAATTTCGAAACTGAATTCATTAAAATATCTTCGAAGAGTACTCTTCCATGATTTTATTCAGGCGTTAGATCCCAATTTGCCGTGATTGCTGGACTGCTGATTCCATACGTTCACGATTATATGTGATCATCCAATACAGAACAGTGCAAACTTAAGAGGAATTTATGATTAATGAATTTCTTTTCAGGTCCCGTTTCTCGAGATAGCTCCAGACCATTTTTATCTTGCATAACGATCTAATAATAACGCAATCTCATTATTAAAGTGCACATTTTATGCTTGTTCGTCTAACTGAAATAAGTACAGTGGCCCACAAAAGTGTCCGTACACCTTTTCAAACGCAATTACTTTATTGAAACTGGACTAAGTGACTTGAATTTTGTTTAGATTATAGCGTTTAGATTGTTTCTTTTTGTCATCCCAAGTAATAACAAAATTTTCAAAAAAGTATCATTTAAAGAAAATTCAAGTCATTTAGTTGTGCTTTAAAATAGTAATTGCATTTTAAAAGGTGTACGAACACTTTTGCAGGCCACTCTCGATGGAATATAAGAGCGAGGAAACACTGGAAGCATTAACGAATTGATTAAAATTACTGAATTTCCAATTACTGTTCCTTGCAAAAGATCCAAAAAAATGTTGTTTTGTCTAGAAATCCGCAGTCCCGCAATTATTACCGGCATGAAAATTCTAGGGATTAACTAAGAGAGCAATTTTCGTGCCAAAAATGTTTTCGTAATCAAGCTAGAGCAGCACGGAGGGAAATTCCTGCAATAGAAACATACTTTTCCCTAGCGTTCTCGATGCAATTTCATTTAATTTAGCATCCATGACTGCTGTATAGTACGAGCAACGGCAACTCATGCACCGTGTATTGCAAATCGATTGCACTTACGTGTTCGCTTTGACATATCCTCGAGCATTTACTCCTCTGCGAGACACAATACTTCGAGACACAATAATTAATTACGAGTGCCGATTTCAGCGTACAAATCACACAATGCATTCCGACATAGTTTACGATGTCACAGAGCCTCGATACGAAGATACACGTAATTGAAATTCGATTCGACAAATGTTTCCGCATTCCTACTCTTTTTTTCCGGATGCAATAAAAAGGGAACATGTTTCCCAGTTTGCGGAAAAATCTATTCGTTATTACAAGAAATGTAAACACACGTGCAATGTTAAATTTGGAACGCAATTAACGGAAACGTGTATACATATTTGTTAACAAGTTATTCCAGAAAAACTGTTTCGTTCCATTCGTATAAACTTTCATTACAAACATTTTATGAAAGTTTGAACATCGCCAGTCGTACGAAATTCGTTCTAAATGAATTTTCGAAACCGTATATTACCGGTCGTTTCGGAAACAAATCAAATTGATTCAATCTGCACCAGGTTCGTAAAATTCAATATCGTACGAAGCTTTTAAAATGGTAGCCAGAGTTTAATGCGAAAGCGACTCGAGTAGTAAGGAGTGCATTAAACAATGTTGTATCTCTTTTAGTTAAATTTAGAGATAACAAAGCGAGAACACACATTTCGAGTCAGAAATCGAAAGATGTCCCATTAAATTGAATAGGCAAAAAACGGATTTACACAACTTTCACATTAAAAGGCACACGCGCGCGCGCGCGCCCGCACATTCATTACACACTTTTGCACATTCTTGGGAAGCCGTGTACGGAGATTCCCGATTTTTCGAAATCTTATTAAACCAGTCCGAGTGAACTGGAAATAGCCGGAGATAACAGCGCAATATAAAAACGCGTTCTGCACTCGGCCGGTACTATTTTCGAATCCAGGGTCGCGATTTAATGACTCCACATTCCGCATTTTACAAACACGTCGAGTGAGGGATTATGTTCTAGGATCTCTTTGTGTCTTTTTTTTCTCGCCGCCGGTAAACGCCCGTCGCGATTTATCGGGTCAGATCTGTGTGTCTGTCTTGCTAGTAAAATCTAATTGGAAAAGTATTACGTGCGTGAGAGGTCCTCACGTTGGCCGGCCGCGTTCGATCGGCGCACGCGTGCACACAGAATCTGCAGCCACGCGAAGTCTTTAACACGTTTTTGACCCGGCCACGGGGTGCGCATTCGAACTGCGAATTTTCTGACGCGCGCGTTACCCTTTTTTTTTCTCTCCTTTGCCACCGGCACGCCAGCCGGTGCTCCAGGTAACACGCAAACAGCGTGCGCGCTCTTCTTTGTAGATGGATCCAATCGATAGCCACGGTCAACTACGACACGCTGTAATTTGTAACGGCGAATTTGCTCGGAACACAGCGGCCCAAAAACTATTTGAACTCGAAATTTCGAAAAATTGCCGACCTTTGAACTGCTGCAGTTCCGTAAGATAGAATGGTACGGCTGTGAACCTGCGCTAGTTTCACAAAGCATGATGTTTCTTTTTTTCGTACAATGGTATACTTCGCCTCGAAAACTAACCAAAAGTCGTGTAAAAAAAATCTCGAGATAGTGCGTAGCTTTTCTTTCATTTTATTCACTTTCGCAGTGTTATGCTTCGTTCAAAGCGAAGAGTTTTTCCGTTAACTGTTCTTTCTTGACACGTTTGAAAATTAATTTTTACGCCAATCAATTATGTCTTCCTAATTTCATTGGAAGGAATCATTTCAACGAAGAATGAGATCAACTTATTGAAATCCTTAATTACGCAAGAAGATTTGTATTCGTGTAAAATGATATAAACAAACGTATAATATCTAAGAATATTTACATTATCGTTTCATTGCCGAGTGTTTTTGTTCTCACGTAAATGAATAAAGTAAATTTGGCCAGTTTTTGAGGCCGATTATTCCGATGCTACACCGATCAATTTCTTCTAAAATATTTTCGCATGAAATTGCCGATACGAGTCACATTTTCCTCGAGAACGGTACAAATTGCAACGTCTCTTAAAATTGTTAGAAAACTTTTTCTCGCGAGTCAATGTATTTCATAGCCTCGAATCAAAGCCTCCTCTTTACAACGGCACCATAAAGTTCAATATATCAGTTTTCATAGTTGTTTTATCGAACACTGAATGGACAACGTAATCTAAATTTTGCAAGAATAATTGGAGCAACGTACATTTTATTCCCGCGTTCCTCAGCGTTGATTCGCAAAGTAATCCGCGAAGTTAATACGATAGCGGAAGCCGCTGTGTCGTTAATAAACATCCGTCATATTAATCAGGATTTCTTCCGGACCGCGTAGTTGCAGCAACGACACGTATCGCACGATTGGCGATGTTTGCACACGCTTTTAGCAAATTAGAATGCGTGCCCCGATCGGAAATTGCATCGTTCGACCGAGCATTGACGGAATTCGGATGTCAGTCGTATCGTTTTATCTATTTTTTTTTGCCAGTCCATTTGGAAGTATCGATCGAGTCGTTTATTATTTCTTCTTATGGTATTGCCGTGATGCATGCACTGTGCATGCACGTCCGCGAGCATAAGATACGTACCGCATTATCGACAATTGCATTTATGTTACTCTCGTTGAATCTATAAATCGCAATAAAATACAATCCCCGACGAGAGAACATTCACCCACGGGCAATAAAGCTCTCGGTCGTCGCGTTGCGTCGGCGTGCAGCTTGCCTTGTCTAACGAAATTTTGATTGAAAAATAAATAATGCGAATGTTTTCGGAATACTAAAATACTGGTTTTTTTGTTGCGACGAAAAGAAGTGTTCTAAATGGGGCTCGCGCGTAAATCATACCGCATACTTCGATATGTGGTTGACGTAAACGCGGTGATTTATTGCCATGAATATTTCGCGCGAGCTTTTGAAATATACGTGACGTCCAAATTTGTTTTAATAGTTCGGTCCGTGTGAAGAGCAGAAATTATTACATAGGCGTGAGCGATATGTATATACATATATATATTTTTTACGTATATCGAATCACCATAGAAACGGTGTCAACTGTGTTATTTAATGAATGGGCAAGGAGCAGAAGAGAGCCAACGATACTCGCGAAAATATTGCCGACTGTATTTATGAGGCGAAGATTTCGTTCGAAACGTTTTATTCGGTTTGAAAAGTGTTCAGCGAACCGATTAACTGTGGTTTAACGAATGTTCAAGGAACGAGACGCAGAATGTAATTACTTCACGAAATATCAAAATGCAACGCTCAATTCGGAATTCGCTTTGTTCGTGCCAATTAATTTACCGGTTGGCAAAGAAGCATGGAAGCGTAATACGCGAATGCTTACCGCGTTCGTTTCCATCTTTAATTACTTAAAAGTCACGTCGGCACATATTTTACCGGCTACAGCTATATAATAAAGTGAAGCATGAATGGCACTAACAAACTTCCACGCCCGGCGAAACTTGGGGAAATATAATCCGAGGGACTCACTTCTGTTCTCTCAGTTCTCGACGATTTCACGTCAGGTGCGAATGTAAAACGTGATTCGCAAAGGATCGCCTCGCAACTTTTAATAAGTAGGAAACTCCGGGGACATTCTAGCGCGAAATAACCGGCTGACAATTCTCTGAGAAACGTGCAGCGGCTTATTGTCGTGCAATCTCGAAAATGTTTTTCTCCGGCAGCCTTCAATTGTTGGCTCCAATTTATCGGGGAAATGAGACGGACAACAATGAAAGTCATGAATTCTAAAAATCTGTGCGACACAAAAAGAATCACATTTTTATTCAGAAAAAATTCACCAAGATGTAGACACCCTAATTCACGGTAAAGATGTAATCTAAATTGAAGTAAATAAAACGTACTCAACGCTGAACCAACCGAGCCCTAAAAGTAACTAACATTTGCTACTTTACAACGATGAAAAGGCTGAATTTATTTAGACTTTTCGCCATTTGTATTATAACGTATGCTTGAATAAAGGAATTTATTCAATGATTTTTTACGAAAGAGTTAATGTAATTTCAACAACTTTAACACATTGACTGCCATGCCATCCATATATGGGTGACGTAATTAATTGTCCATGTTTAAGAATTAATTTTTACGCTAATATATCCAGTATGCGAAATTTGGTCAAGACCTACAAAATGCAAGAAGATCGAAAGAGTATTCAGTATTGTCGAGATCTTAATTTTTCAACGTTTATTTCATTTAATAAATTACTTTGATATTGTGGGATTTTTTTTCAGGTTGTTGGATTGGCGATCAAAGTGATTTAGTGTTGAAACCGACATGGCTACTGTGACACAGTAAGTAAGAGAATGATTGTTTGAAGTACGAGGAAAATGATAAATTATCGTGGAGACGTGAAAATACGTGAAAGAAAATTTCACGGGGAAGATTGCTTAGCTTTTAAATGATCTAAAACTAAATTCTAATGAAATCTCACTAACACCGTAATAGCAGAAATCAGTAGAGAATGCGTTGCGATATTTCGAGTAATATTAATCGACGGCATGTACTTACAACAACTTTGAAACCCAAATCTCCGAAAACAGCAATCGGCGGCATCTCTTTCAGGATGTATCGAAAAAATTCAGGGCCCTTGTACCATTTCACTGTGTACAAAGTGTCCGACCCTAGATCGTATCTGCAACTCATATTGACGGTTGTGCCTGCTGCCACAGCCAATGGAATATCGATGGACACATTGCTAAGTCCACGAACGCCTGAAAATAAAATCGCGTTATTTTCCTGACAGCTCTGGAATTAACAGGTTGCGTTCTATACATATTTATTCGACTCGTTTATAAAACCATTGTGAAAGAGTCGATACGAGTTGTTTCATAAAATTCGTATGTTACATTTTTGCTGCACCGTTCGAATAAAAACGCCGCACATTGACCCCATTTTTCTGTGCGGATATGATTCTCGATTCAATAATAATTACTCGATCACTAATTTACCGTGTTTCAGATTCCAAGCGCTCCATATTCAGCCGTCAATTAATTTACCCGACATGAAATTTTACTTAATTTTGCTTTCCATCAGGGACGTACCGATAGAGCAAAGAATTTTTACAGTTCGCATATCTCGGCGTTGGTTTCGCGGGACATGACCAACCCCATCAATTATCAACCTGCTTTAAATAGAATGACAATATTAATAATAAAAATAATAATAATGCATACCGCACATTCCTGTATTTTTATGGTAGTATTGACAGGTGTACGACAATATTACTTGAATTAAAGATTTCCTTATTAGAATTACTTTTTTTAAACGTTTTGTTAAACCAGTTGACTGGCATATAGCAATACTATGCTACAATCACACATCACATTTTTATATTAGGTCTATCGGAAAGTTCTGTCCGATAGTGTCACTTCAAGTTTCAATCCATGTGCACATGTTGATTTGAGACATACATGACTATCTCTCTTTATCATTGCATTTACACACATGTACTCTCCTAAATAAACTGAAACAAAGATGTCTCGTGTCATTCGTAAGTGAGACGCGATCGTGAAAACATGGCTACCGATGATAATGCCAGACTACATGCTGCTTTGGCGACTCGTCAGAAAATCGCTGAGCTAGGCTGGGAAATTCTGTCGCATCCACCATACTCCCCAGACCTAGCACCCTCCGATTATCACTTGTTTCTCTCTTTGCAAAACTTCTTACAGGAAAATAATTCAAAACTGAAGCTGATGTCAACCAAGCACTAGTTGAGTTCTTCGCCTCTAAAAATAAATCATTTTTTAAAAATGGCATTTACAAGTTGCCATCACGCTGGCAAGAAGTCATAAGTAACGATGGAAAGTATATTCGACAATAAATATTATTAAATGTATGAAAATTGTGTTATATTTCAATTCAAAAACGGACAGAACTTTCCGGTAGACCTAATACTACACTGAAGCCGGATTAATTGTCCGTAGCTTCTTTAATTGGAGTATAGAAAACCATATTAAAAGACCTCTGTTTTATCACAATCAGCTGCTATAAAAATTGAAATGTAGACGAATGGGAATTGGGAGGCTGTCTGACAGATGGTCCATACTACTTGAGGGTTAATAGGCACGTACAATTATTTGAATACCCAGGAAGTAGGAATTGAAATCATTGCCGAGGGTCACCGGCGACCAGCATTGAATACGCACGAATGCTTAATACGCACCCTGAATGGGCAAGAAACAAGCTTTCTTCAAACTGGAATCATGACCCTCTCCTTTCAACCGTGGATAAGTGGCGAGTACTTATCCTATGATAACTTAAACGGACAAGTGCTTAAGAAACTTTCTGCGTAAGCTTGGCAACGTCAGCGTTAACGTTAGCCGCCCTTGGGATTACCATCGCCGGAAGAAAATTGTGCGGTACGACAGGAAAAGTTTCGGCATTGGCGTCGACTTTTTAATACGTATCTCTCCGGGGAATCGCGTCGTTTACTGGCTTGCTTCTCGCAAAAAAATGTAAATTCTCGTTCCTCCTGATCTACTTGAACCACGTACAAAGGTACGAACCGTCGTTGTCGGTACGTGGTGCAACTATTTTAACACAAGATTTTAATCGCTGTTCGTTATTTATACAGTGTAACGTTGAATTTACATAGCAGCAATGATCGTTATAGCTATTCCAGTTATTCCTTTGATTTATTCGAGCCAACCGCCGTTATCAGAGACTGTGTATGTTGCTACGTTCTAAGAATTTTTAAAAGGTAAATAAATTGCTTCTCATCGTCAATTTCATTTATGCTATGTAACATCGAATCCGTTACATTCCAAGCCTAATTAGAATTATATTGGACAATGATGATGTATATAGATTTGAATACAAATGATCTACTGCTTCCAGTACAATCTGTTCGAATTCTTTCAACTTTTATGGCATTAGTTGAAGGAATAAGAATTCTAAATCATTACTAAATTACTGATATTACTATACCACTAATATTACTAAATAACTAACGCTATTAAATTATTAAATACTAATATTACTAAATAATACATTTTCTGAGAGAATCGAATCGGCCTTTGTCGATTACATTGAAGAATGAATTGACATCGTTGAATTCGTTGACAAATGAAACGACCAAGTTTATTTGATACAGGTTTCTGCACGCTGCGGACTACAGATTCTGGATAATGTATCGAATGGTGGCGCTTCTTTAGAGCGATAGTCACGCTTCTTCGACGTGGTGCACTTATTGTTGGACTTGCTGGAAGATGAATATGCAATGTGTATGCACGTGACGACGGTGTTTGTGCGCTAACGATAGAGGACGTGGCGAATACCTAGTTCAGTTATCGCCGACGGCCTCGCAAGTTTGTTCCTCGCGTGGACGTTTCGGCTTAGATAGGAAAAATATGTTGGAAGTTAAACGATCGCTCCGTGTCGTGGTCTCGCCGGATCATCGTGCGACGTACGTGAGTGGAACTCGTTACGGCGGACTAACACCACAATTTTCTCATTAATTAACAGCCTTTTTTTTCCACGATGATAAGTGCCGCAGTAATTACTTATAAGATGATACATGGCAAGCTTTCGCGGTAATAACGTAATTAATCTTTATACTTCACCCGGCGCAATTCGAACCTGTTTCTGTACCTAAATATACAACGCGCGGCTATTTCCAGGCGCAAAAACGACGATGCAAATTGCGTGTTAGTTAGGTGCGGACGTTCGTGATGTAAAACTAAATTTTTCATGAGAAATATGTCATTGTTGCTGAAATTACTCGAGCCGTGCATAGTTCTATACCCGATGCGATGGTGATTTATTATTAACACTGAACCTACCATGCCGGACGAAATGACCGGTCTTGCAGTGGTTATTTTTAAACTGTTGAAATTATCAAGGCACTTCCTTAGGAATCGATCGAACAAATTCATTTATTCCAGCTTACATCTTAATGAGAATGACAAAACAATGACGAAATAAAAATTTTCGTAATTAATTGCACGGAACAGAAATACGATAAGAAATGTATTTCTCCTTTTAATAATTTCAATAAATAATGAGTGCATAAGGAAATTCTCTCAAGTTCTCATAATGTCTGTATTGTTTGGTACTTCACGTAGTCAATTTTAGCATAAATGCATAAAATCTGTAGTTTAGTTTTCGTGTTCACAACATCTATAGGTACACTGGCCCACAAAAGTGTTCGTACACCTTTTAAAATGCAATAACTATTTTGAAACTCAACTAAGTGATTTGAATTTTTTTTTAGATGATAGAGGGACTGGTATACTAGACAATGATCAAAATGACTGTTTAAAATTTTGCTATTATTTGGAATCACCAAGAAGAGTAAAAAACTCTCGTTTTTTTTTACTTTTTATCTGAGCCTATAACGAAAATTTAAAAAATGCCTTTCGTAGATCTCGGTAATTTGTCTGAAAATTTGTTCGAAATCGGTTCGAGCTACAGGTGTTGAAAGATTTAAACAACTGCAGATTTCTTCCAGTTTTTGGTCAAAATAGTGATAAAACTGCGATTTTTGCCATCTTAAATCTGTTGTAACTCATAACAACGTCAACCGATTTCGATAAAATTTTCAGCATTCACGTAAGTTACCGTTTCTATCTACGAAAGACATTTTACAAATTTTCGTTATAGGCTCAGATAAAATAGTTGAAAAACGAGAATTTTTTATTCTTTTTTGTCATTCTAAATAATAGCAAAATTTAAAAAAAAAAACATTTTAGTCATTGTCTAATGTACTAGTGTACGAACACTTTTATGGGCCACTGTATATACACATGCACGTCGAACTCGGATTGAATCATAGATTCTTTGTAACTAATTTGATTAAGCTATTCCATTATACTGATGTTAAATACTGCATCGTATTGCAGTTTATTACCGCGAGCAGCTAAATTTGCTTTCGGCAAACTCGATTGAAAAATTGTAATTGAATTTCTGGAATGCCAAGAAATATTGCAATGTAACAAATGTCTGCAATTATAACGTGCTGATTTGTAGATGGGTCGGGAAGGTCTAAATATCAAGGCCACGGTATAATCGCGTCGAACTTGTACATCGGTTCGGAGAACTATAATCAATTGTTCGGTAGAGGAATCGGTAGGCACGCACACATCGCGCAGCATATCGTTCCCGGTGAGATTTAAATAGCAGGTGCTTTGCTAATCACCTTGCTAATCCTTAATTACTGCCCGAGCACGATTGTTATTCGCATCACGGTCGGCGGAACACGTATCTTCCGTTTTTGGAAGGCGAAACCTCCCCATAAATAACAGTAGCCCGAGACAATGGCGTCGCATAAACTCTCTAGCTATATATCAACCTCTTGCCCTTAAATTATCGCCTGGAATAATAGAGCAAGCGTAGCTGAATCCCCGAAATCATTTTTCTTCGCTGCGTTCTTCGTCAAATTGCATGGGCAAACGTTAAACACAGACCGTACGGATTAGCTGCGGCGTATTCTGTTATTTAGGCACTGAAATCCCTGTAAAGCTGAAGCTTCTATCATATAATCACGGCGAATCCTATGGACGATTGGCTTTGCGCACAATGTTTCAGATTTCCTTAGGCGAAACGATATTTACATACAGTAAACCCGCACTCGGATCGCGCGGAATTTATTGCAACTCGATCAACCGCGTTAATTACTTTCAACAAATGTTGGTGAGGAGCTCGTACAAAATGAACGTAGGATAGGATAGCTAATTACTTTGCCCTGTTGGAAGACTTCGGGAAGTTTCAC